GTTTTCAGCCCCCCCCCCCCCCCCAAGCATGGGGGGCTTGTGGAGCTGTGCCCCTCCAAGCAGTGGTAGGGAACAGGACTCCGGCAGGGGAGAGCTGACTGGACTCTTGCTTGGCCCTGGTGGGAACGCAGCCTGGAACTGAGGACTCCCTTGCCCTGTCTGCACCATCGGCGGCAGCAGGACAAAAGGACCCATGACCAGGCCCAGGGCTGAAGATGAGGAGCTCAAGCAGCGTGTTGGTGTTCGATGGCGTCCTGGGGGCAATGAGGAGCGGAGCTGGTGGATGTGCTGCTGGAGCTGGCTGGGGACAGCATGATGTGGGGGGCGAGTGGTGGATGCAGCTCGGAGGGCTGCAGCTGCAAAACTGCTGCGTTCTGCCAGTGCCCTGCAGCTGGGGAGGAAGGAAACCTGGGGCAGGCAAGGCTGCAAGGCTGTGTCTGTCCCAGCCTTGGCACAGGTTAGCCCATGAGGGTGCCAGGGAGCTTGCCTGGTGGGGAAGGGGAGGGAATTTGGGTTGCCAGGGCTCCTCATACTCACAGCCACATCCCAGCCTTGCCCTGCTCAATAAAACCTGGTGGTCAGATGCAGGAGCTGGCACTGTGAACACTCCTGTCTGCTTTCTAGCAACTGCAGGCAGGGCTCTTCCCCATGGGCACCCACCCAGACTGGAGGAGGGCATCCTGTGGTGGCCCAGGGCTTGTCCCCAGCACCAACTCCTGCAGCAGCCAAGGGGCTACCTGTGGTGTGATGCTGGAGATGGGCAACCAGCAGGTCAGGAGCGAGCTGCTCCCCAGGCTGGGGGTTACCCATGTGCTGGAGCTCAGGGGGGTACTGGGAGACCTTGGAGGGAACTGCCCTTCTCCTCTACACCATGGCGTGGTGCTGGTACCTCTCCCCGTTTACCATGCCCATCTTGTTCTCACCCCAGTCCGAGTGTCTGGCTCACTGTCCTGTGGCTTTCCTTCTCCCTCACTGGGCTGATGTAAGGTTAGGGCAGTGGGGGGGCAGGCAGGCCGTGGGCCTTCCCACCCAGCAAACACCCCACCAAGGCTCATTCACCCAGCATGGGGACAGGCTGGCCTGGGGGCCTGTCTCTTACCGGGAACATCCTAGGGTTTGTAGGTGACTGGTGGCCCTCACTGAGATGGCTGTGGGTGCTGCTGTTTCCTGCTTTCCCCGCTCAGTCAGGTCTGTGCCCAGGTGTGGGGGGCAGCCCCAGCCCTCACTTCTGCGTGCCCTAAGCAGTGCCCCTGGGGCTTTTCCTCTCCCCTTTCCTGCCTGTGCTGCGGGGGGG